TCCACAGGACAAGTATAGCAGACAGGGCAGTGAAAGCTTTTCCCTTCTGCTGAGCTAACGTGCCTTTATGCCAGAAGTGGGCAAACTACAGTCTGTGGGCCACGATCCGGCCCACGGGACCCTCCTGCCCAGCCCCTGGCCTGGGAGGCTAGCCCCCAGCCCCTCCCTTACTGTTCACCCTCCCCTGCAGCCTCAGCTTGCCCCGCTGCTGCCGGCACAATGCTCTGGGCAGCGGGGCTGTGAGCTCCTGGGGCAACACAGCTACAGAGCCTGGCCTGACCTGGTGCTGTGCGGTGGCGATGGCGTGGCTGGCTCCAGCCGGGCCAGCCACCGGTACTCCAGGCAGGACAGTAAGGGGGCACGGAGCGAGGGGGTTGGATAGAGGGCACGGGAGTTCGAGGTGGTGGTCAGGGGGTTGGGGTGTGGATAGGGGTCAGGGTGGTCAGAGGGAGGGGAACAGGGGGGTTGAATGGGGGCAGGGGTCCTGGGGGGGGCAGTCAGGAATGAAAGGAGGGGTTGGATGGGATGGCGGCGGGGGGCAGCCAGGGGACAGGGAGAAGGGGTGGTTGGATGGGGCAGGGGTCCTGGGGGGGGGCCGACAGGAATGAGAGGAGGGGTTGGATGGGGCGGCAGGGGGCACAGTCAGGGAACGGGGGGTTGGATGGGGCAGGAGTCCTGGGATGGGGGGGAGGGCTGGGCCACAACCCCATCCCCTAAGTGGCTCTCAGACCGAAAAGTTTGCCGACCCCTGCTTTATGCTCTAGAGGAACCACTGCTAGGAATGACAGTCAGTTTCATGGTCCATTCAGTCCCTGGCTTCTATTGAAATTCCGAACAAAAGTGCCAATGTATGCTAATGTCATAGGGTAAAGTTGTATGTGTGATGTGGGGATCTGAGTCTTGAGCCAGCAGGGCCCTTTAAGATGTGCTTAGATTTAGGCACATAGAGTAGTCACATTGGGCTGGATTTGCAAATGTACTTAGGTGCCTAAAGATGCTGACAGGTGACTATTAGGATTTTCAAAACCACCTAAGCAGGCATCTCTCTGCAACTTTAGGCACCTAAATACCTTTGATAATCTAGCCCTTTAACTCTAATGGAAAGACTCATACTTAAGTATGCATTTAATTGCTTTGCTGGGTTTGGGCCTTATCCCTGAGGAATTAGGGTGAAGCCACCCAATCCGTGACTTGGAATAAACATATTTTTACATACAGCACATTTATTGCATGAGTGAGTACACCAGGGGTTGGCAACCTTCAGTACATGACACATCAGGGTAATCTGCTGGGGATTACCCTGATGGGCTGCGTGCTAAAGGTTGCTGACTCCTGGACTACACCATTACAGTACAAACACCCCAACTCTTCTAAAAAGATTTTAATTCAGCAACACGCATTTGCACACGGCTCCGCAATGGAATATACAGAAACAAACACGTATAAAATGACAACTTTTAATAAAAAAGTTAGTCAGCAGCAATGGACATACATAGATTTTAATTGTCAAATAGTTTAGTTATTCCCTCTAAGGCATTGAAAGTTCATAGATGTTTATAGTTTCAATCATTTTGTATAAATAGGTTATTGATACTTGCATAGGAATAGGACATCTTGGCTTCATTAAACAAAGATATACATACAAATGTGTATAAAAGTGATTTTCCCCCCTACCCCATTATCTTCCATGAATTCATCAATGGGAGGTGGGGTTTTTTTTTAACCCTTAAAGACCTGGAAATTGGTCCTGCAATTGTTAATCCTGTAAGTGTCCCCTGTTGAAGTTAATGGGACTACTTGCCTGTGTAAGGATTACTCATGTGAGTAAGGGCTGCAGTGACCTTCCAGCAGAAGTAGCAAGTATGTCAAACACAAGTGAAAGATATTTACAATCTGTGCAAGTAGCATTTTCTACGCTTAATGATTAAGGAGGTCTGTCTCGGAAGCAATAAACATCAGAAAGGCACTGGGGCAAACATTAGCTGGTGTCTATTACAACTTTTTTTTCTTCTTCCAGTTTTAGATCTCCTCTAAACAGCGGTGCTGTAATAGATGAGTTCTTGTGAGGAAGGGAAATGTTAGTGGGGATTGAGGGTAGAGAGAGCGCTTGCAGCTTGGAACTGCAATCAGGAATTTAGTGCACAAATAAGTCTGTTCTCAAGTTTTCCAGCTCATACAGCAAAAACCTCCCTTCTTGTGCAATCATTTGGTTGGTTTTCTAACTGTAAACAAGTGCCAGCTACTTCCAGTATTATCCCCCACAAATAACAATCATAAACGTGTTTTAGTTCCAATAAATGTTACACTCAGCCATATAAAGTAAGAGGGAATTGATATTGAAATGGAGTTGACTACTTTACACAGTTTATCAAATCTAAAGTGAATTAAAAATGATATGGTGGGATTCTCTAATTTATACCAGTCTTACAACTAGAACTCCATTGACTTCATTATTTACACCAGGGAAAGTGAGAAGAGGAAAATCTGGCCTGACCTAATTTTTGGTTTCAGCCACTGATGTAGCTGCATCAGTGTAGCTGAAGTGATACCCTAAGGCCATGTCTACACTACAGACCTTACAGCGGCACAGCTGTACTGATGCAGCTGTGTTGCTGTAAGACCTCCCGTGTAGCTGCTCTATGCCGACGGGAGAGATAATTAAACCACCCCCAACGAGCAGTGGTAGCTATGTTAGCAGGAAAGCGTCTCCCACTGACATAGCGCTGTCCACCGGCACTTCTGTCGGTTGGGAGGGTGTTTTGTTTTTTCCCCCACACCCCTGAGCGACACATGTTTCACCAACAAAAGTGCTAGTGTAGACATAGCCCAAGAGATTGTATGTCTACACTTAAAATGCTACAGCGGCGCTGCTGCAGCACTGCAGTGTAGGCATTCCCTATGCTGACAGGAGAGGTTCCCCTGTTGGGGTAGGTAATCTACCTCCCTGAGAGGCGGTAGCTAGGTCAATGGAAGAATTCTTCCATCAACCTAGTGCTGTCTAGACAGGGACTGAGGTTGGCTTAACAATGCTGCCCAGGGGTGTGGATCTTTCCCATCCCTGACTGTGGTAGTTAAACGGACCTAATTTTCTAGTGTATACCAGGCCTCGGTATGAATGCAATCCAGTGGTGTAAACCACAACTGACCCTGGTGCAGTTTATCTTGGTTTCAAGCAAGTCATGGTTTACGCTGGTCCACTGCATCTACACTAGTTGTTTGCACCATGACAGCCATATTGGAGGCTACAAACCCCAGTGTAGGGCTCCAGCATATTACTTGTACAAGCTAAGGATAGAGGTTCATGAGTTTTAATTAGTGAAGCCCAAATCATACTATTCCATGTTTGAAGCCTCTCAGGAGGGAAAAGAGGCTCCCCTCATGGAGCTTCTATTGCACTCTGCTCAGGGTGAACAGTTTGTGGCCTTATGGAGTGATCATAAGGTGCAACTCCTAGCTGTATAGTCTGAGGATCTCCGAAGAAGGTAAACTTCACCCTTGTAGATCCTGCTCATTCATGTAGAGTGGCACACAATGTGTACCATTGTGTGCCACTCTAACACACACACGTGGATGCCACTAGGCTCAAGTTGGGATGTGCATTTCTGATAGGGAAATACACAACTCGATCCTGGAAGTATTTAGTGCCTCTCAGAATTAAGCCCATGTCAGGACCCGTAGAGTGTCAGTGCTGAAGACACATACAGAGCTCCCTTTTTGTAAGCGAGGCCCTAAAATTTCCCTTTATCCCATGTGAAAGATATGGCTTCCAGGAACAGCCATAAAAGGGTGGGGTGGGTGGGTGGAGGAGAGAAAAGTCCCATCTGTTTTTCCAGTCCAGCCAGTTCTCACCTGACTTGCTTTTATAACAGTAACATTTACCCATTTTTTAAAAAATGAATATTGGAGCTAGTTAAAAGCTGATCAAACTTTTTGAACAAAAAAAGCTTTTTAATAAAAACTGGAAAAATCCATTTCTGCTTTAAAAATGAACTGGCTTGTCAGTGATTGAAAACCGTAAGTCTTTTCACATTCATTTTTGCTTAATTTTCCTTTTTTGCCCCTGAAATTTTTCAGGGGGGCAGAGAAATGATTTCCCAAGCAGCTCTAATGAATGCCTCTTTAAATCCCTTACTGATGCCTGTTAAATACCCTGCTCTTAAAAATTAAAGGGGAGACTTTTCAAAGGCACAAAGGGCAGTTAGATCCTAACACCTATTGATTTTCAAAGGGATTTAAGTCACCCACTCCCATTTGTACCTTGAAAACCTCCCCCTAAGGCTAAAAGTCTCTTGGAGTTTAACAAACCTTGTAACTTTCAAACCGCTAGAATAATATAGCTGAAAAGTGCACTCTTGCAGCTGGACACTACAGTCCTGTCTTGAGAGCGCAATCCAACAAGATCATCTTCCACCAGGGTGACCAGACAGCAAGTGTGAAAAATCGGGATGGGGTGGGGGGGTAATAGGAGCCTATATAAGAAAAAGACCCAAAAATCGGGACTGTCCCTATAAAATCGGGACATCTGGTCACCCTATCTTCCACTGACATCAATGGGAGTTCCATGCACGAAGGGCAAGCAGGAACAGATCTATAATCCAGGCAACATTCCCACTGAAACTAGGACTGAGTAAAGATAGCAGGATATGGCCCTAATTTACTTATGTCAAATAGTGCCTACAGTGTGTTTATGGAAGGTAATGACACCATTACAATTCCTTCTAGGTAGTCATTTTTAAGCTTCTTACCAAAAAAAAGTCACCTCAATATAAATTTTAAAATACATTTTGTTCTAAATCCTTTTTCAAGCTTGAATTTAAAACATGATTTAACATCATAATATGTGAAATCTCCACTTGCAGCTACATTAATAGAGAACATCTGACTCCAGGAGAAAAATCACTTCTAGTTATGTTGTCACTGTTCTGTGCATTAATTCCAAGTTCCCACAGCTGTAAATCCATTGTGCTCCATGTGATAAATAAGAAATTGCATGATGACAGTTAAAATTCAAAAGCACTAATGTTTCTCTTTGCCACTTCTTCTTCTTCTTTTTTTTTTTTTTGTCTAAGCGTAGAGTTTTTTGCCTCTAACAGAAGTTAACGTGCAGTGATGTTATAACTGCTCCTGCTGATGTATTTATGGTAATATTAAAAAAAAAAAAAAGTAAATACAAGCAAATATAACAGATGTTGCTATTTGGTAAATAAAACAAGAAATAACTTCGATTGATTCTGAAAAAGGCTGCTGCATTTGTGGTGTTAAACTATTCCTCCTCCCCTGCACCTTGGTTATTCCATTACTTTGAGAAGAAATCTTAAATTAACTTTAAGAACACAGCCAAACACTGCCCTGATTTGCATTGTATACAGTCCCAATTGACTTGCAGAGTGTAAACCCAGGAGAGTTTAGCCCATAGAATAAATACAGAAGAACTCCCTTGTATTTCTTGCGTTCTAGGTTTTGGTCCCTTTCAACCATAAAAAACAGTTACAGATTGTTCCCAGAGCTAAACCACTTAACATCTTGGCACTTGGTTGTTTTTAACTTTGCAACAATAGGCACTGTTCACTCCTCTCAATCTCAGCTTTTTATTCTGTAATCAAGCAGGAATACCGATGAAAGGCTAGTCACAGCTTCTCCCCATGGTATCAGTGTGGTGGCATGTGATGATTCACAAGGGGTGTGTTTGATCCAAGAAAGCCCAGCCTCTGCTTATTTTTTCTTTGTTCTGTCATCTAAGGTGGAAAGGGAGATAAAGATGAGAGGTTTTTGACTATTATTTAGCAGCAGCACATGCAATTACAGTGCAACAGCATTAGAAGGGCATTTTTGCAAAGTACATGTAAGCAAAATAACTGCAATTTTTTCATCATTAAAAACTGAGTACAGGATTTCTTTGACGTATGAGATTGTGTCATGCAAAGAATGGACTTGCGTGTGCGTGAAGGGGGTGGGAGAACAGGTATAGGCTGTAACTTCAGAGAGCTGAGCTAAAACAATTTCAACTAATTTGCAGCTATTTCCTATACAAAGCTCAACAAAAAAATGTGACTGCAATAGTGTATGTGTGTGTGTGTGTGTGTATGTATATATGTGTGTGTGTATATATATAAACATAATTTTGCAGTCATATTATCTAGTAACTGGATTCCTCCTACCTGGCTTTTAGGGTTTCAAAATTCAATTTCTTGCTTACCTGTTCTCTAGTTGTGTTAATGGAATAAAAACTCTTTCCAGAACCATATCTGTGCACCTACCCTAAGCTTTATTGAGTCAGGAATAAAACCTTTCTGAGACAAAAGTCTCTTATACAAAAGGGTCCTGACCATGACCCAAGACAAAATCGAGTTCTCTAAGCATGTGTTCATATGTCCATTTTCTACCCAGCTCAAAAACACTTACCTGTTCCTTGAGCTCAGCAAGCTGACTAGACAGTTGTTTTACAAGACTCATGGTTGACTCCAACTTTTCTTGCAGGTTTCTAATTTCATTTTGCTCATTGTCACCTTCACTGCTAACCAGGGACATGGCTCGCATTCGAGGGAACCAGTCCAAATTCTTCTCCTACATGTGAATATATTTAAAAAAAAAAATTAATCTGGGTTTATCTAATGCTATTAGTCTGAAGTTCTAGAAAGAGAATCATTCGGGTTTCTACTGCGTTTGATGCACAGCACGAGAGATTAAGAAACATTAAAACAGGAAATTACAATATTTTACACTATTAAATGTTTTCTGTCTGCAAAGAAAACAGGTAGGGAAAAATCCTGGCTGCACTGAGGTCACTGACTAAATTGTCATTGACTTCAATGAGGCCAGTTTTTTCATCCCAAGAAAGAAACAGATATTGCCGCCTTATCCTTGAAATCCAACCTTTATGTATACTCACAGTCTATAAATATAGACCAGTGCTCACCCTTAGGGTGGCACAGAGGAATGCTGTGGGTGTGGGGAGTGCCGTGTGGCAGGGCCAGGGCCAGCCCCCATGGGGGGCAGGGAGGGCGCACCATGCTTCTAGCCCCGCTCCACCCCCACCCATACTCCTCCCCTAGCCCAGTTCAGCCCTAAGTCTTGCTCCGCCTCCAGGCCCAGATCTGCCCACTCCCTCTCCACTGCCAGGCCAGTTCCAAACCCAGACGTGGCTCCAATCTGCCCCCAGCCAGGCTTTGCCCTCATTCCTTCTCTGTCCCCAGACCAGCTCCTCCCCCATCCCCAGTTCTGCCCCCAGCTCTGCCGTCAGCACAAGCTCCTCTGCTGAGGAAGCCTTGACTGTGCAGTAATGGAGGGGGAAGGGTGCAGACAGATTCATTTACTGGTGGGGGGTGTGTGACCGAAAAAGTTGGAGCACCACTGATCTAGACACAGTAAAAAATGTAATGAGTGGGATATGGAAGATGGGGTGGAGTATCATAAAGGGTATTTTTGAGCATTCATTTGGGATGGCTGCACTGTTCTTGAGTATGCATGCAGGATATAATGGATGGGGGGCGAGGGGGGAGAATAATGCCCTGTGTGGGGAATGGGAAGAGGAGCCCAAGAAGTCCTGCAGTTTTAGCGCAGGATTACAGCCCAGTGTTCCTCAAATGGGAAACTGGTTCTCGTGTCTGGTGGCATGTCACATCACAGGGGCTCTGTCTTCCACACACAAGTAGGTTAGATCAAAGCCGTACCATTCGGCAGCAGGTAAGTGTAGTGGTGTGCATGTGGCACCTTTTTAAAGGACAACAAGATGTGCTCTAGAGCATGTTCCTTCCAGGCTCCCATTATGCCCTGCAGTAGCAGGATGCCTTAGGGACCCTCCACCCAGCTAGATCTATTTCCCCAGACAGATGAGGGCTGCTTACTCTGGAACCTAAACCAACCCAAGATGCTCTGGAGCCCAGAGCTGTCCTGCTTATATTGTTAGGTTTTGCTCTTTGAAGAACATGCAGGTGAAGGGGAACGTAGCCACAGACTCTGCTAGTCTACTTTTATTTTGATTGCACCATGAAAATCTAAAAGTAATCTTGAAACCCTCAGGGTTTTTTTTCCCTCTACTTAATCTGTGGTTTCTACTAAAGTTCTGTCCAGCTGTTCCTAATCCTGTCACACTAAAACTACAAAATACAAAGGGAATAAGACTGTGCAGCTTCATTACATTTTGTAATACATAGCTGTCAGTCACATATGCTTGTGAAATGTAGCCTTCCCTGGTTCTGTGCTTTGTAAACGTAGGGTTCTTATGACGATTTATTGTGCATGTACAATTCACTTTTCTGTGGATGGTAATTCATTCAAATCACAATCTTATTTCACCAGCTTTGTTGGTGAGTTTTTTAATTGAACACAGATTGCATGGTATTTTCAGTTCCATGATTCTGGGGTATACACTTACGATTACAAGATTAGAATATTCATGGAAAATTACTGTTAGTATTCAAAGAACTTCAGCATATGCTTTAACTGAAAGGACAGTCTTGTACTTAAAATCAAGCTCATGTGAAAGTGCACTGCTGGACTGGTGCCTATCTTTGCGAATACATCTGTCCATAAACTTGTCTGACAGAATATTTGCAGAACGCAAATTCAAAAGTGGGGCAGCAAACACCACTGAAGCTACTTCCGTTTCGATTGGAATATTCCTGGAAAACTGTCATATTTTTATCTGTTCGTGTCTCTCACTTGAAGAATCTGAGATTACGAAACACAATACTGCATTATCGTAGAAGACAGCAAATAGATGTGGTACCTACTCCCTTTTGCTAAGGCTGAGCATCAAGGTAAACTTTCTTGACCAAGGTTGGCAAGATTGGGAATCATTTCAGACTTGTTGCTCTTGTACTGCTGAGCATTGATGTCAGTGTTGTGACATGCCTATTGTTCTTCCTATTCTCTGCTTCTCCAAAATACAATCCTTTGTTTGGCTTGTCTTCTTTTTTTTTTAAGTGGCTATTGGGTTTGTTTTAGGGCAGTTTTTTTTCATGGTTTTTAACCTATGGAGCACTGCAATAGTCACAGGAACATGATATATATTTGAAATAATTTTTGGTGCTGGAAATGCTAGGGTATAATTTCAGTCTGCCTGTTCTATGCCCCCATGCCAACTTGCTCCCCTACCCTCTAAAAAGACGACTTGGTTTTTGTGTGTGTGTGTGTGTGGGGGGGGGGCCTGAAGTACATGGCACTCTGCAGTAGCTGAAGACTGAGCAGTGGTCCCTACGGGTCCTTTACTGCTGGCATAATTTAGAGCAGCTCTAAATCACTTCAGCCCCAGGATCAGTGAAAGTGGGCTAAGAGCCCCTCCTCTCCGGAGTTTTGCTTCTACCGTGTGCCAGCCCTGGCCAGTAAAGCTGTGGAAAAACTCTTAACAAAACCTATTTCAGCTGGCTGTAGCTTTAATTACAAACTAGGAGACTTGGACAAAGTCAAGCCAAAAAGTCGGTTGAGGACCAAGAGCTTGGACTGTTGTGAGAGGACCTGAGCCAGCTGATGCATTTGCATGGAAAAGTGACCCTGTGAAGTGAAACTGTTGACTTTTTTGCACAGCACTTCCTGGCAGTCCAAGAAGTGATGAGTCAAACAACTGAACACAGGTCTCTCATTTGGCAGTTCAGAGCTCTATCTACAGAGCAGGCAGAATATTGCTCTTTGGCTGCTGACCACACTCAGAGGCTAATGTTACCCCGTCCACAGTACAGTCAAACTGTGTGCATTTTTGTATCCCCAAACTTTAAGTGGATTTGGAATTCATCCGAATAGTAGGAAATACATTCTGTTCCACCAGTCACTTATTTATAAATATATGCTTTGAATAGACTGAATCTCATAACACATGCGGTTATTAAATTCCCTTGCTGAATTGTTTACTTCTGCTGGTCAATATTAACTCACTTTCTCGGTGCACTGTGAATTGCAAAGTTTTATCACAAGATAGTGTGAAAAGATGGTCCAGGGCATGGATGCTGCCTTATTCTGTGATGCTATAGTGCTCCATACTGACAGCACTTGCTAATGGAGACTAAATAATGCATCACAAGACTCTAGAAGATTTCAAAATGCAAATTGCCGAGGTTTCTTTGCAGACAGGGTTTACAGCGAAATTTCTACGCAATTGCAGGAAGACTGGCACACTGACTGCTTATCTACGTTAGAGTTATCAATTGATTGCTTGCCAGCTAACTTTGTTTTGTAAAGGCTAGGTAGGTCCCTGACATTTGCTCTGGGACATCAATGTCTCTGGAGCTCAGCCTAAGGTTCACCTTGACCAGCTTACACATCTTAAAACTACACCTTTGCCCTGTCTACACTAGGAGTGAAATCTAATTAACTTGAATGGGGGCAGGATTTCATCCTAGGACTTTAAAACTACTATCTCTCATGCATTAGCTATCACTTATTTTAAAAAATACACCTCTCCCCTTAGTATGGACAAGCTCTATAGGCTATATCTACATAGACTTTTACCTCCATTTAAAGATTGCCAGTTAACATGTCTGTAACAGCCAGTGGGGACACGGCAAACATTTGTTCCAGGCTATAACTGTTTGTGCTTTAGCTTAGGGCTCAGCTTATGATTGGCAACAAATTAACTTGAGATAAAGTCCAATGTAGGCAAACTCAGAGAGCGTAAACTATATGGCTGGAAAGTCTGAACCATCTGTATCTGGCTGGGCAGCAGAGGGACAACTTAAGAATTTAAACATGGTTTCTTAAACAGGGCTGAATTCAAGCCAGGTTTCTGCCAGTGTTTTACCACTTGCATTGTGCTCGGGCCTAGGAGATCCAATCATGGTCCTGTACAAACAGAATGAAAAGCTTATATGCCCTAGGGAGCAGGGCCCATGTAAGTAAGTGTGTGTGTGTGTGTGTGTGTGCATGCGCACCCAGGTGCTGTGATCCTGGGGTGCAATGTCAGCCAGGCAGGAAGGCTGCTGGGGCAGAAAGTAGCTGCAGCCTCCACTCCCTCAGTTGTTCAGCTCAGCTGAAAAAAGCAGGTGGTGCTATCCAAAGAGATTGTGCACGAGCAGGACAGACACTTGACATGGTGAGTCAGTAGTGCGTCTCAGCCCCCTCCCAGCAGTGCTTCAACAGACATTACTGCTGCCCTGTCTTGCTGAATCCTTCCATGGGATGGAGGCACAGTTGCTTGCTGGGACTGCAGATTTTGACTGCAGCCCCATGGGGCTCTGTAGTGTTTGGAGGCATTGCTACTTGCCTTGCTTGAGATGCCTCCAGCCCTTTCCCTTAGAGGAAATGTATTCAGAAGAAGCTCTGCACATCTACCCTCATGAAGCTTTTGATACATTTTTCTCCCTCCTGTGGCTTATTCGGTGGAAATAGAGTTGGGGCCTTGGTCCTCACTTGGGGAAAACTTTGGTCTTTTTTTTTTTTTTTAAAGACTTCAATAGGAGAAAAGACTGCAGGGATTTAACAAAGCACAGAAACTCTGGGCAAAGTCTTTGCTGAACCATTCCTCTGTGCAGCCAACTGGCTTCAGCTGAGCTCTCCCGCTGAGCTGAGTCCTTGCCTCCTCAGTAACTGGAGGGGGATATCTCTGGTCTAGCGGGATAGAGGAGAGGGGGAGG